CATCAAAGAACTGAGAAATATTTTAAAATCAAATCAATAACAGTGCATTTGGAAGTTGTCTATATTTATGGCTCAAGTGGTTAAGTTCTCAAATACTAACCATGTGGTTAGCATGTCAAGCTAATGGAGAGGCACTTCAGAAGAAAGACCTGCTGATCTGCTTCTAAAAACTTGGGTTGTTGTCTTTATCAAGAGAATCATTTGCTTTGGAGCCCTAGAGGCCTTTCTGGAGAATTTCATCCTAAACTTCTAGGACGAAGGACACATCAGGTTAGCACAGCCACCATAGCCCTGCCACACCTGCACAGGCATGCTGCTGACTTTTGACAGGTATTCTCAGGCTTCCATGCAGACATTCACTGCACCCACTACATGATGTCACGTCCAAGGGCTTCCGGGGAATGTAGTCCTGAGAGTGAGGTATAGTCCACAAGACAGCACTCTCTTCCTTTGGCCCACGTCTCCACTGCAGCCACTCCCCCCACGTTCACAGCCTTGAACACTTTAAAACACAGTTCCACCCAGCAATCAAGATCACAATGATCAAAACGAAGCAAAACAACTTGAGAGTAATTGGTCTGCTATGATTCTGTGTGTGTGTGTGTGTGTGTGTGTGTGAAGGGTCTTCAGTTAGTGGAAAAAATGAATTTTATAATTTGAATATTTCCATGAACTTTTAGAAGCCCCCTCATATAACTTTTCATTTAATGGCTGCATAATCCTAATCTTTTACCACCAAATATCCAAGTCTTGCTAAACCAGAATTACATGATAGCTAACTAATATAAATGCTTGACCACATATATTTTTAAATGCAGAATTCTCAAAAGTAGAATTGATGAGACAAGTACCATGTGCTTTTAAATGCTTTTAATATGTGTTCAACCAAAGGAACTTGACCGTAACTTAATTTGATTACTCTAGGCAATGTAGCCCTTCATTAAAGATTCCTGTGAGCATAATTTTACATTGATACAGAGGTTCAATTGTAAAAGATTGTGGCTAAATTATGTTATGACTGGATTTACAACACCACAAGCAAACAATACTTAATTATTAATGAATGTATCTGTATGAACATGTACATATAAGCATATTAAAATGTTACCCAAATTGAATTTCAAACATTAATCCTTATTCATTTAGGTTATAAAATAAAATCCATGTAATTCTTATTGAGTTGTAATCTATACGATTATCATCTCTATGTTTTTTTTTCATTGGGCTTCTGGACCACGCAGTGATCAATTTCTTTGTTCTCTAGTCAGCTAGAAATCACATATATACTGCAATCAAAGACTAATTATTTGGGGAAACAGGCAGTACCGTGTTTCTCCCTGGAAGTGGGTGGTAGGTTTGAACCACGAACCTTTACATTAGCTGTCTAATCCGGATCATAAAACACCACAAGGACTCCTTTGCTCCAGTAAACATTACATAGGAATAAAGAAATCTCATTGAATGGCTGCTTAAAAGGCAGAATTTATCCATTGATGTTAAATAGATTTTAATAATAGGTATAGCCCTTACTCTCCTAGAAGTGATGATTTCCCACTAATGAAAGCAGCGCTTGATGGAACATGAAGAAGTTTCATTCTCACCAATGCCTTTATGCCCTTTATTTTCCAGCGCTGGCTCCTCTGTGAACCCTGAACCTCGATATTTAGAGTGGCTTCATTATAAACCCCAAATATGCACGATCACTCACGCACGCACTGTCATCCAGTCCTTTCTGGTCCGCAATGACCCCAGAGGACAGAGTGGAACTGCCACTCTCTGGAACCCACTCAGAGTGGGTCTCTGAGACTCTCGCCCTCGCTGGAAGCAGTCTCAACTTTCTCCCTGGGAGTGGCGGGGACTTGCAGAATCTGCGGTTAACAATCTGACTCATAACTCACTAGCCACCGGGGCTTCTAACATACGGGAGAAGAGCACAATTCCAATCAGTCTTCTCCAGACAAGGAGATTTTGATTTCCATAGAAGTAACTGATGGTGCAAATTCCTTGCTCACCAAACCGTTTCACCGATCACAACCTCTGCTCCTACACCCTGGGTGTTTCGTATCGAAAAATGTCAGGAATCGCGGTGCTAAGACATACCAAGAAAGACTTAGTTGATATCACATCTGTGTCTTCCCTGGAGACTCCAGGCGTGCCGAGTGTCATTGTTCCATAGGGATTTCGAGTTGTGACCTTTCAGAAGCAGAGCCAGGCCTGTCCTTTGTGGCACCCTGGGGTGAGTTCCAACTGTCCCCTTTTACGCTGGCAGTCCAAGGATTTATAGGTTGCACAACTCAGGGACTTCCTGAGAAAGTAGTCATTGGAAATGGATGTGTTCCAGGTAATTATCTGGGACTCTTAAGGAAGGCAGTTTTGTATTGTGTGTGTGTGCCCATGAACTTCATGAAATCCTGGAACTGATAGAATGTCATCTATTGGTGTTGTCAATGCCTGTAGAGGAAGCTGTAAGCATTCTCAGGTGGCTCACACTGGAATCGGTCTTTCTCCTCCAGCAGGATTAATCTACACTGCAGCTGAGTGAGGACTATCAGTGAGGCTATGAATGAAACTGGAGGAATACGTTACAAGTATGATTCTTCCTGCCATCCTGCAAGCCTCTTGAGTAGCTTATAGAGGGTGGATGATGTGACAGGTGTCTGCAGTCGCTAAGGTTTATGGGTCAATCCCTCCATTCATTCCACTAAATATTTGAGCTGTAAAGCAAAACATTTTAACATAAATAATTTAATACTACTTTTGGTGGGAACTATTCAGTGGTTGTACTGCAAGGTTTGTATTAATATTAAAAATGAGGATGAAAAAGGAAGACAGGCTCTTGTTACTCTTTTTATTCCCCATTTGCTCATTGCACATGGTATAGACTTGGGGGGGGGTATTAAATGCACTATTAAATATATCATAGTAATTTTTTTTCCTTCATATGTATCAGCGGAGTAAAACTAGGCCTAGCTTTTCCATTGCAGTAAGCACACTGAAGATCAGGGTAGAATTGAATATCTGTGGGTTTGCCTGTACAGCACAGGAATGATGAAGTGACACTGGAGGGCCAGAAGAGGGCGCTGGAGGAAAAAAATCATCGCTAGGAGAGACAGTTTACTTTTGATAAGCTGTTCATTTCTCAAACATTAGGAAAAGACTTAGCTTTAATGACTCCTTCATTTAAATTTCTAATGCCTCACAGAAGTAAACATTTGACTAATCACCATTAACAGTGGTGTTAATATTGGGGATGATGATGGATAAATCAGGATTATGCTTTATGTCTAAGCAGTGTCCGCCTATTTTCCTTTGGGAAGTTTCTTTCTTGAGGACAGCCGCTGGAACACAGTATATTTCCCATCTTTTGGTACAGCTAGACTTCATCAAAGCCTCTAAAAAGATAGCATTTGGCAATGAATGTATTCAGAAAGGGATAATTTCTCACCCTAGCACTTCATTAACTTTAAAAAAAAGGTTGATAAAGGGAAGGATCGTTTTCTTACCTTTTATGAATTATTATTGAGATCTGCTTTGGGGCCAATTTTCTATTGCCCGTTGTGAAAAGGAATGAGGAACTCAGTAGAAATGGGCAGCATTGCTTTCCCTAACGTAAACAATTCTTTTGCAGTTTCTTAGAGATGGGAACGCTCAGTTTTGTATCTAACTTTTGATGGATATTTTCTCCCTAAATGCTCAGTGGTAATTTCTTTCTCCTCACTAGCACACTGTCTATTTTCCTGTCCCATGGTTTAAATAGCTCAACTCAGTAATACCTCAATAATAACAGAACAAGAGTTTAAAAAGAGATGGCTTTTAAAATTTAGACAAGGGCTTAAGTAAGATTTTGAGTGTGTGTGACAAAATTTCACGGGAACGAAATGAACAACTCCCTCCCAATCTCCCTTAGTCCATAAATAATATTCCTGGGTATTAATACAGAGAGAGACGGGGAGAGAGAGAGAGAGAGAGAGAGAGAGAGAGAGAGAGAAACGGATTTTAGTGTCCTCCGATGTTAAAGGACACCTATTAATTCGGTCTTTAAATATGGAAGTGCTCGTCATAGCTATGTTTGTAATTAGTTATGCTGCTTTAATTAGTCAAAAGTTCTTCCTCTAATTAGAGACTTCCTAAACGCTACAGAACTATTTTAAAATGTTAAAGTTGCCACTGCAAATCTCTGCACTCTCTGAAAATGCAGTAAGCCTCTAAGCCTTTAAAGTTTTTTGGTTTTTTTCTGGCAAAGTCACCGTGCAATTAGAACAACAATAAGCAGACTTACTCAAGGCGACCACTTTTTCTTGTTCTTGGGAATCAAAGGGACGATGATATTGACTTGTAGTGTCAATGACCCACCTACAGGAAATGGACACATAGCCTTCAGCCCTTTGTACTGACCCCTGTGCCACGCCCCACCTTGGTAACATTGGCCCTAATGGTTACATTTATCCCCCATGCCATCGCATACTTGTGACATTAATTTCCAAAGAAAATGGAGTGAGACAGAAGGTAGACATGGCTTTATGCTCTGTAAAACTGGCACTACTAGAATCTTTTGTCTTTGTTTTTTCAGGTGCATACGTGCTCCAGGTCAAGGCCACAGATGCAGATGACCCCACCTATGGGAACAGTGCCAGAGTCGTTTACAGCATTCTTCAGGGACAACCTTATTTCTCTATTGATCCTAAGACAGGTAAATTTTTTATTAGAGACAACATTATCACCACCCTTTCAAATATTTAAACTTTAATTAAATCCTGGCATGGAAATTGCATATTCTAATAACGATTGCATATGTCATGCATTAAGTAAAGGAAGATAGGATCTTACATTTCTATCATAGAACTACTTCCTTTTGATTGTGCTTTGTGTAAATCTTAACATTTGCACATCTGGGAGTATTTGTGAAGTCTAAATGTGCTGGTCAAGGATTTGCTCTGTGATTTTGTTCATATTTGCATAACGTTATTTGTGCTTGACTTCTGATTCTTCTGGTTAAGATCAAGTGTGATTTCAGGGTTTCTTGACTGGGTTCAATTATATTCACCGGTAGATCTTATTATCATGTCGAAAGAATAGGAATCTTCCATTTCAATCTAAATCAGGGTCATAGAGGAGTGGTTTTGCTTACGATGGCCTTGTCCCTGTGATGGGAGAATGGAGAAGAAACACAGGGAGCAGCATGTATCTAGGTCCCTCAATGTCCACTGTGAGTCAGAATTTACTCATAGCAGTGGGTTTTGTTTCTGCGTTGTCTTTTTTTAGGATGTATTTTCACCTTCCTACATTTCTTACTTAAATGATAAGAATTGTATTCAATTAAAAATTACTATGAGAATGTAGATATGCCTTCTCATTTAAGTGGATAATCCCTCTGTTTCTAAAAAAATCTATTTTGATAGATGACCTATCTCTTCTTTCCAGCACTTGCCGCTCTGTTTCTCAGACTAAGGTATCTTCTTCACAATTAAAGTGCTGTAAGGTATGCTGCCAGTATTGCAGATACCAGTAGGGTGGGTTTCAGTGGCGTTTTCAGACCAAGACAGACTGGTAGGAGTCAGGAAGGCATGACAAACTACTTCCCCCAAATAGCCAATGTAAACCTTATAGTTCACAACAGAACATTGCCTGTCCCACTTTGACCACATCAAAAGCCATCAATGATTCAGTGAGATATATTTGGTTAAGTAGAGGGCCAGCAAAGGCGAGGGAGACCTACCATGAAATGAATTTGAGCGTGCCAGCGATTGTAAGGATGGTGGGTGACTAGCAACCTTTCATGCTCTTGTACATTTGGTTACCATGAGTTGAACTCAACTCGGTGACAGTTACTATTTATCTGGCTAAGCTTTCTTAGAGGTGAAGATGGCAAGAATGCACCTCACATATTCTGTACATACAGTGAGGAGAGACTCGTCCCAGGAGAAACATCGTGCTTGCTAACGTGGAGCAGTAAAGAGAGGAAGGCCTTCAAGGAGATGGGGAGACACAGGGGCTGCAACAGCAGGCTCAGGACTGGGAACAATGGTGAGGGTGGCGCAGGACCAGGCATTGTTTGGTTGAATTTGGCTGTGGGTCAGAACAGCCTTGATGGCACCTAACCACCACCACCACCACTACCACAAACAACCTTTCTTTCGTGACCAAGGATCCAAGGAGCAGTTCCATGTCACAGCTAAACCAGAAGCACCGGAATGACAGCCCTTCTATCCATTCTTCTCTGGTACATTAAACTTTAATTGAAAACTGAATTTAAGACTATTTAGTATTCAGCAATTAATCATTTGATCTCCACATTCGTTTGAAAATGTAACATTTCAAAGACAATACATTCAGATGCTACAAGTAATTAAAATGTGTACCTCCTCTAAATGTATGTGCTAACACCAGATGTATCAATTTGCTTTAAGTACAGCATGGCCGTGGCCTGTGGTTTTGTAACCAGTTTTTGTAAAAATGATGGTTAATTAATAATTAACATATATTTATGGTGCCCACAAAACAAAGTCTTCTCGTGCATCTCAATGAAAGTGGGTCTATAGAACCTGTGAAGTCTTCTTGTCAACTAAATTTGCCATTTGCTTCCCTTCCCTTCTGGGCGCGAGAAGGGATACAGTCATTGGAAAGCTGAAGGAGAAAGACAAGGTGTGGTTTGCCCATCTAAACCTTGAAGGATGGCCAAGTATTTGATGAAAGAACAAGTGCTGCACAGGAGGCCAGACAGGCTCAGGACACAGCCTTTGACTTCTTTTTTAAATAATCATTCTTGCCTCTAAGGAGCCCTCAGGCTGACTTCTTCCAACACCAACTCCTGTGTTCTTTCGGCAGTTCATGGTACTTTCAGCATCCTTTCCCAGGACCATCATTCAGATACATCGATTTGACTTCAGGCTTCAATGTCCAATTTCATATGCATATGAGGTGATTGGAGATCTCATGACTCGGGTCAGGCACACCTTAGTCAAAGTAACGTCCTGGCTTTTAAACAGTTTAAGGAGGTCTTGAGCAGCACATTTGCCCTAGGCAATGTCTTGTTTAATTCCTTGTCTGCTGCTTCCATGGGCATTGATAGCAGATCCAATCAAGATGAAATCCTTGATTTCAATCTTTTCTCCATTTATCATAATCAGATAACGATTTGTTCAGTTGTGAGGAATTTGGTCTTCTTTACATTGTGCTGTAATTCATACTGGAGGCTGCAACCCTTGATCTCCATCAGCAAGTACTTCCTGTACTTCAGTGAGCAAGGTTGGGTCATCTGCATCTCACAGGTTGTTAGTAGACCTTCCTCCAGGTCTACTGATGCCACATTCTTCTTCACATAAGCCATTGTTGCCCGGATGCTTTGCTAAGCATACACATAGAATAAGAATGGTGAAAGATACAACTCTGTTACAGACGTTCCTGACTTTAAAAAAAATAATTTTATTGGGGGCTCATACAACTCTTATCACAGTCCATACATACATCAATTGTGTAAAGCACACTTATACATTCGTTGCCCTCATCATTCTCAAAACACTTGCTTTCCGCTTGCACTCTTGCAATCAGCTCCTCATTTCCCCCCCCCTTCCTCCCCGCTTCCCCCTCCCTCATGAACTCTTGATAATTTATAAATTATTATTATTTTATCATAACTTACACTGCCCGACGTCCCCCTTCACCCACTTTTCTGTTGTCCATCCACCAGGGAGAAAGTTATCTGAAGATCCTTGTAATTGGTTCCTCCTTTCTACTCTTCCTTCCCTCTACCCTCCCAGTATCACCACTCTCACCATTGGCCCTGAGGGGTCCACCTGTCCTGGATTCCCTGTGTTTCCAATTCCCATCTACACCACTGTACATCCTCTGGTCTAACCAGGTTTGTAAAGTAGCATTGGGATCATGCTAGTGGGGGGGGGGGGAAGCATTTAAGAACTAGAGGAAAGTTGTGTGTTTCATCAATGCTACACTGCCCTGAGTGACTCATCTCCTCCCCACTACCCCTCTGCAAGGGATGTCCAATTTGTAAAGGCTGACAGGACAAGGGAGAGCAGAAACAGAAATAGCTTTATTAGGCGTTAGGGGAGCTCCCAGACGAGGTTCCATGACCTAGGCCAACAGGTCAGGGAAGTGGTGCTCAGCAGCTTGGGGCGAGGGTTTTTAAAGGAGTAGTGAAGAATGCATGGCAGTTAGCATATGGGGTCTGGAAACTGGGAGAATTGCTTGTCAACTCCTGGAGGCTTTCTTTGAACCAGGAACATCAGGTTTCACCTGTTATCTTCTCTGGCGCCGACTGCTGCTGACGTCTGGGACGTGCTTCAGCTTAGTCCAAATGGGGGCTGCCTAGTTTCCACCCAACCCAACACAATTGTCTACAGATGGGCATTGGGTCCCCACCCCGCACTCCCCCTCATTCACGATGATATACATATGTACTCAACAGGAATGGCAGGGGAAAGATTAAGTATTCATTATTGGTCAAATGACTAGAGTTGTATCTTCTATCAAAATCTTAAAAATCAGAAAAATTACATTACTCAAAAATTAATTTAAGCAAAAGTTAGCGCTAAGTGTATAATTACTACAAGCAAAATAATACTCTTGCAGGCAGCAATTACAGGAGTCAAAACACATGTTCTGCCTTGAATTTACTCGGCCACTATCAACGGGAGCTAAAGTCTACTGCCTGTAGAAAGCAATCTTTCGCTAAAGAAAATGTATGCAGATAATAACCCTCTAACAATTTTGCATTTTAACATTTTATCTTGTGCTTTTTATTTAGAACTAAAAGCAAAACAGTTGTGGCATAAACCATAGAATAGATTTTTTGAAGCATTGATTTTCACTGGAGACAGAAGTCTTCATACTAACTATGCCTCAGCCCACTAGACAGGAAGAGAGTGGATGAAGAGGCTCTTCATTAATAGGATGATAACCAGTTCTCCACGCACAGAAATGATTTGGAAGACTTTCTGTTAAATATATCACCTTGTGGTAGAGAAGAATAAATAAAAAATCAAGGATAATTGCAATTTCTCAGAAATAGCCCCCATTTGTTCCAGCATATAGCTTCCCTTTATGATTCCTCTTGCTGTTATTCAATAAAATGCATGGAGAACTAATATTATCTGTTCTCCCACATTTGAATGTACAATACACTTTAAAACAATTCTTCAAAAAAGAGTCTCATCAAAATTCTGGTGTGTGTGAAAATATTTACAAAGAGATTACAATTTCCCTTTATTATTCATTTTAAAAGAAGAGAAAATAAAGATTTCTTTACTGATAGAACTGCTTCACAAACATACCTAACATCTAAGTAGCTTTGGGGATCTTATTTCTCAACCTCGTAAATTGATACATCTATGAAATAGATCCGGAAATAATAGCCCTCCTTAAAAACTGGAAAATCTGGATGTTATTTGCCCTAAGGGTGAATTTATCTGCTCTGAATAAAAATTGAAAAGCATTTGTTTGTATTTCTCACAAGATTAAAAAAAAATAGGAATTAACAAATAAACAAACCAACCCACTGTCATGTAGTTGATTCTGACTTGAAGCGTTCCTTTACCTCTGGTCCATCCTGACTCACAGGGACCCTCCAGGACAGACTAATGCCCTGTGTGAGTGTCTGGAACTATTTGGGGGACAGAAAGCCCCTTCTTTCCATGCCTGAGTGGCTGGGGATTTCCGCCTAACCTTAGGGATTGC